GTGCAGTTCAGGTTGGCCTTGAACTCACTTTGTAGTCCAGGCTGGTCTTGAACTCGCAACGATCCTCCTGCCTCAGCCTCCTGAGGACTAGGATTACAGGCGTGTGCCACCACACCCAGCTCACTTATTCTTTTTCACCGCTGTATGGTATATATTTGTGTGAAAATAACAGATTATATATATAATTTCTGTGAACATTTTTGTTGTTTTCTCTTTATGCCTTTTATTGATTGCTATTGGGCATCTTCCTAGGAGTAGAAATATTGAAAGTTTGGTCAATTTTAGAAGATTCTGGGAATTTTATATACTAGTTGCACTTCATTCAATCTACGTAACTAGTATAGTAAGTTCCAGTTGTTCTACATCTTTCATAACACTTAAAATGGTCAGTGTTTTTTTGTTTGCTTGTTTTGGAATTTTAGCTATTTTGCTGATTATTTCATTGTCTCATTGTGATTTTATTTTATGTTTTCTTACTAATGATAAATGATTTTCATATTTTTATGGACTCTTTGGACAACAGAAATCAGCCAGGCGTGGTGGCGCACGCCTGTAATTCTAGCACTCAGGAGGCTGAGGCAGGAAGATCATTGCAAGTTTGAGACCAGCCTGGGTTACAAAGTGAGCTCAAGGCCAGCCTGAACTGCATAGCGAGACTCTGTCTCAAAAAGACAAATGAATAAATAAATAAAAAGTAGCATGTATGTTTAAAAAAAAAAAAAAAAAGAAAAGTCTTGATTGACATTTTTATCATTTTTCAGTTGGGTTATCTAGTTTTGATTAATTTGTAAAAATTATTTAATGAATTCTTAATCAGGGTTGTTTGTGGGGTATACTGTACTTACTGCACATATCTCACCCACTGAAGTTTTTTTTTGAACTTCTGTGCAGTTTTTCTCTTTACACTCTGTTGATAGCATCTTTGAAGGAAATTTCTAAGTTCCTCAGCTTTTCCCCTTGTGAAGAGTACTTTTCTTATTTTTTATGGTACCAGGAATAGAACTCAGGGCCTTGCGCTTGCCAGGCAGGCACTGAGCCACTGAGCTGCACTGCCAGCCTGATGAGTACTTTCCATGTCCTATTTTAAAAACTCAGTCTTTCCCATTCTCAGATTTGTGAGGATTTGAGAAATTTCTGTCTTTCCATTAAAAGTTGCGGTGTTTTGCTTCTCAAATTTAACTCTGCAGTTGCAAATTTTTATAATTGATTTTTGTTGATGGTGTGAGGTAAAAGTCAAGACTCATGTACCTTAATTTAAAAATACTCATTTAAAAATAAATATGTTAATTACTTGCAGGCACAAATAACATATTGTATATTTGCTGAGAAACGATTTCTTTCCAAATGAAAAAAGTTGTATTTTGCAAATCTAATACCTGGTTGACCTTAGATTCTCATACCATCTTTATTCAATCTGCTGTGATATTTATTTTTATATGAAAGAGATCTGACCCAACACAGAGAAGAGGTTGGAAAAATTAGTATATTAGTAGCCTTAAGTTTCTTATGTGTTAGTAACAACATGGAATCTGAGATTTTAATCAATGAATTTATTAATATTCTGTTGCATTAAAAACTATTGGTCTTTAATTCCAGCAACTTGGGAAGCTGAGGCAGAAAGATTGAAAGTTTGGGGCCAGCCTGGGCAATTTAGTGTAACTCTGTCTCAAAAAGGGTTGGGAATGTAGCTTAGTGGTAGGTACCCCTGGGTTCAGCCCCCAATACTTGGAGAATGATGGGGTACATTGGTTTATCTTGCACTTTGAATGAATCATTTACCCATGCATGATTTTGGTGGTTTTTTGAGGGGTTTTTTTGTTTTTTTTTGTTTTGTTTTTGAGACAGGGTCTCGCTGTGCAGTTCAGGCTGGCCTTGTAGCCCAGGCTAGCCTCAAACTCACAATGATCCTCCTGCCTCAGCCTCCTGAGTGCTGGGATTACAGGTGTGTACCACCACACCCGGCCCATGCCTGATTTTGTAACAGCATACATTGGTCATTTGGGAAGTATTGATGGTACTGGGTTGTATAGTTTTCTCATGTGGGCACATTTTTTAAATAAATTACGAAAAGTGACATTTGCTCACTTTCTGTACTGGTTTCTTCCAAAAAGCGTAGGAAAGTATGAAGCTCAGTATTAAATGCGAGTTTTCCAAAATTGAAAATTTTTATTCAAAGCTTAGATTTAATCATTGACATAGTTTGTTGTTTACCTGTGTTGGTGTTCATTTGACCCAGCACATTAGTTGGAAAACCTTCTCCCCTGGTATGTTGTAGCAGCCGCTTATACATACATATTTTTTCCTCTCTGTATTTTGCTTGTTTTGGTTTATCTTCATGCTATTTGTGCCCTCTCAATTATTCTACATATTTTGACATTTCATAGTGTGTGTTTTCACACATGTATACATATAAAAACTTGTTGGAGAGGTACGAGCTTAGAATAGCATTAAAGCTAAATTATTTTAGAAAGACTTGACATTTTTGTAAGTACATCTATGTAAATATATTTAAGTCTGCAGAAGTGTGTACTCTTTATTTGGTTACCTTTAATTTTTCACAGTAATGTTTAAGAAGCATAATTTTTGATCCGTCTAGAATTCTAGCTTAGCAGTTTTTTCCTTAAAACTTTTAAAATGTTGTTCTGTCATGTTCTGGCTTGTGCAAATGTTGAAGACTCAGCAGTTAATGTTACTGTTACTCCTTTGCAGTTAACACATTTTTTTGCCCAGGCTGCTACTGAGATTTTTTTTCTTTGCTTGTCAGCAGTTGCATCTAATGTTCCTGTGATTCTTTTGGATTTATTTTGTTCAGGATCTGTAGAACTCATTCATTCTGTGATGTAGTGTTTCTCATCAGCTTTAAAAAAATCCTTAGCCAGTACTTTTTCCTGTTGCTTCTTAATTCCATTTCCTGTTTCTCCCTTGGTTTCCTTTGTCCCTATTTTGTTCATACTGTTTTCTGTGTTTTCCACCCTTTTTTCTCTGTTCCTGTATTTTCTCTGACTTATTTTCTGATTCATAGATTCCAAATTCTGTTGTTCTTAATGTTTATATTAAGCCCACCATTTGAATTTTTATTTTTAATTGCATTTTTCAGTTGTAGGTTTCTACTTTATTTAATGGATCTCCGTGTGTAGGTCAAGCTATCTTGTGCTTTTTTTTTCTTGAGCATATTAAAAATAATATTTTTCCTGTTTGTTTTAGATTTGGTTCCATTCTCAGCAGTCATGATAATTTTTATTAATTGCCACTGTATGAAAAGTTGAACTATTAATCTGTCTTCCCATAGAAAGTATTTAGATATGTTTTGTTTGGTTTTGACTTTGGCAGACAAGAGTATACATAGATGTCTTGATGCAGGTGAGAATGCTGTGTGATGTATGTGGTAGCTGTTAGGGGAAGTTTTCTTCGATAGCTTGTATTTTCTCAATGACTAAGGAATAAAGATAATGAATTGAGAGTTTGGATGAGGAAAGAAATATCTGATATTTGATGAGAGTGGACTAAATGGATCCAGAGATAATTATGGTTGCTAGGCAACTCTGAAAGCCCACCTGAAGTTTATGATAGCTGTGTTTTCTCATCAGCCACGTTCTGTTGCTGGGATAGAAGTGGAGGTAGGCAGAGAGTTGGATTTATCTAGCCTACTAAGTACAAATAACATGAGAATAAGGGCAGTTGAGGGAGTGCTTGCAAAAGAATGATAATGGTAATTTAATGTGGAGTTTGTGTTGGGTTCAGAAAAGAAGAACAGAAAAAAGATGGTGGGATCATTAGAGAACAAATAGATTTTGGAAGTCTGGGTAACAGAATGAGTGAGAAAGAAGAACAGATGCTTGGACTTCAGATTATAAAGGTGTTATTGTTATTGCTGATGCAAGATTTCTGGTGATTGACCATGAAAGTGCATGTCTGAAGTGGAATACAGAGTAAGATCTTTAAAGAAGAGATCAAGAAACATAATTCATCATGTCAGAAGGATTAATATTAATGTCATTACAAAATCTGTCAAAAATAATATTAGGGTATTTATAAACCAAGATTTAAAATCTGTAAGAAACGAGGAGTGATCCTTGCTGTTTGTAATTGGTTGTGTCAGAAGACAGTAAGGGTATGATCTGATGTTCTAAGATTCAAAGTTATAATTTTTAGTGAGAAGAGGAAAAACATGGTTTAGAATTAGGTAAAAGGAGAGGACACTGATTTGTCTCTAGCTCCATTGATAGGAGGAATGCGTGAG